AGAATTCCCCAGGCAGCCATGCTGGCTGGGGAATTCTGGGAGTTGAAGTCCACTCATCTTAAAGTGGCCAAGTTTGGACAACACTGGACTAATGAATTCACAGTGATAGAATCAGCCAAAGGAAGGCAGTTTATCTGAGACGTTCTATTTAGTTCTGAGGAAGAGCAGAGAACCATAGTGATATTGTGCAAGAGTTAGTGATGTATTAGGAGGGGGAAACCCAGGCTCTCCCTCAGCCAAGGAAGCTACCTGGGGGCCTTTGAGGCAATCACTCTTTTCAAGCCAACCTACCTCGCAGGGTTGTTGTTGTGGGGGCCAACAGAGGGAGGGAACACTACAAAGTCTGCTTTGAGCTCCTGTACAAAAAGGCATGATATAAATCTAATAAATCTCCAAAGAAATCAACACTTTATTTATTAATTTTACTGTACTTCTAATCAGTGATACATGTCAGTTGTAAAACCAGACACTAAGATGGAATGAAAATGAATTAAAAAACACATTTTAAAAATGACAGTAAGAGATTTAGAGACACATCACTGAGCCAAAAACAAATATAACTCACCTATTAGGGTTCAGAAACCAGGGTTTAAAGGCTTAGCATTTTCAATGAAGCCAGCCATTGTGGCTTATTAAACTATGGTTTAGAGCTGGTTTTTAAGTTTTCCCTTGATGGGTTTACTATACAGTGGGGGACTGGCAATGTATCAAACGACCCTGAGCCTCTTTTTAATTTTTTACAGGATCCCACATTGGTAATGAATTTGGGGGATTATGGGAAAAAACATCATCTAAAAGAAAGGCAGAAATTATTGGGGGACTCATTCTGGCAGCTGCCCAAGGATGTCAGCCCTGCCTCTTCGATCCAACAGGACAGTGAAGAGGTCATCTTCATTGCCGGACTGAGATCAGAAATTACCAAGCTGTGCCAGAACAGTTTTGATAGTCCCAGGACTTGGGGTCTTTTGGTTCCTCCATGGCTGGGTTCCTGCATCATTCCAAGCTTTGTCTTTCTTAATTGCCGTTTGCTAAATAAACCCCAGTTGGGTTGTTTAAGCCAAAAGATGGTTTGGATGAAGCCCAACCCAAGGAACCATATTATGGCTTTCTGCCCCCTGCAAAGTAGGTCGATACCTCTTAGGGGATTAAAGCTACAGAAAGGTGGGCGTAAAAACAAATTACGGAGACAGAGGCATCTTATTACTGGAGAGACCTGATTCCAGCAATTCTTTTGCTTTCTGCCCTAATACTGGGCAGTGCCTATTCCAGGGTTTGTGGGATTTTACAACCCCCCAATATCCCCCCCCCCCCCCCCC